GAAGATATCCATTTACATTTACCACCAAATGAAAGCCCAATTTGTCCTTAAAAAAACAAGGTATAATTCACCTGGATGTACAAAGTAGTGATGATATGTACAGTATTACTAACCTGACAAAAACCTTGCAAAATTGTGCTTAGGCCTTAAGATTTGTTTTACCCTTAGGCGTGAAGGGCATAAGTAGGATTATCATTGTTTTCTATGCAAGGACGAGGTGATTGACCAAGGGGAATGCCCATAGAAATTAGTAGGAAGCAAAATATAAACTCATTTGTAGGCACATCTGAGAAACGCAGCAATTGAACCTTTCTCACAGATGTTCCTCAAGTAGAATAGCAGTTAGTAAATTCAAATTATTTGAGGTTATAGCTGTTTTCTGTGGAAGGACAGATGAATGACACAAAGGAATGTCCATAGATTATTATGGGAAGCAAGATGTGACTTGACATCAGAATCTTTCGATATATCAAATAAATTCTTAGCAGAAAATCTCCAAGTTCAGTGGCAATGTTTACAATTGAGACTAAGTAGGATTATAATTGTTTTCCTTGGAAGGATAAAGGTGAATGACAGAAGGGAATGCACATTTATTTATTACAGGTACTTGTATAGCACCATCAATTTACACAGCGATTTACATGTTTGTGTGTATACATATTACAATATTCACATCAGAGTATAATGGGAAGCAAAATGTGAATTTAGACAAATTTGTAGACAAATCTCCTTTACCATATGGAGTTCACCAAGTAGAGTAGCAGATTGTAAGATTGAATTTATTTGGAATTATAGTTGTTTTTCTGTGGAATGACAAAAGGGAATGCCCATAGAGTAGTGGTGCACGAAATGTAAATTGTGGTGCTGAAATCGTAAATTAAGGATGCACTTGACCGAAAACCGAAATGTCTGTGTATATGGGGGTGGGGAGGCTTAATTTTTTTTTTTTTTTACTTTTTAATGTGTGTTTTTATTTTTAACTTATGATTTTATTTCTATCACATAGGGGACCAATAGTCCCCTATGTTATAGCATTTAAGTGACAGGTCCTCTTTGTAGGGGGGAAAAGGGGGGGGGGGGCAATGTATGCAAGGAGGTGGCAAGAGAGGAGCAGTGTATTCAGCGAGTGAGCATTGTATACAGACAAGGGTCCCTTACTTGCCGCCACTAAATGCCATTTCTGTTTTTTTCTGGTTTCTACCATTTCTGGTTTTCATTCTTCACTTTATAGCACTGAGAAGGAGTTGTCATTCACCCTGAAGCTTAAGTAAACAAAGGGGCGGGGTCACTTGGTGACCCCTACCCCTTTGTTTACTTTAGCGGTGGAGCGAATGACAGCTCCTTCTCAGAGCTATAAAGTGAAGAATAAAAAGGCTGATAATGACATTTAGTGGCAGTAAGTGAAGGGCAAGCTGGATGGACAAGTTGTCCAAGAACGTTGTTCTCTCCCCTTCATTCGCTATGTGATGCCCGTTTGTGTCCTTGCTATATAAGCCAGTTATAGACTTGGGAGGTGGCCATCTTTTTATTTGCAAGTAAGTGAAGGGAGCCTTGCCTGTATACACTGCTACCTCACTATGTACACTGCTTACCCCTTCTCCTACCTTTCTCTGCCCTCCCTCCCCCATCTGCAATACACATAGGCCCCTCCAAACCCCTCCGGCCAAGTAGTTAGTCCGCCCCTCTGGCTGCAATTATCAGTGTAGCAAACTAGCTCATCAGAGTTGGACGCAGAGCTCCCCTTTTCCTTTTCTTTTAGTGGAAGTATTCCTCAGCCCTCATTCCCTACCCCCCTCCCTTCCTGAGAGGCAAACGTTATCTCCTGAGTGACAGATGGTGGGGGGTCAACACAGGCTAGGCATTCCTAGTTTGGTCCCAGCCCTCTGTATAAGTGGAACCTTTTTCACCCATCATAAAAACAGATAATGCAGTTTCTCCCCGGACTTGAAAGTTAATTGAACATTCCTCAAGTCAGGCTTTCCCCCGATGTTTCATGTCATGGATTATGACAGATGTGGGTTCTAACTCAGCGTTCTCCTGACCCCTCCCAACACAGCGTAGCGAGAGCAATCCCCCCTTTCAGAGGGATTTTTAAAAAAGAGACAGGCTAGCAAGCCTAGAGTTTAGTTTTTAACACATCTCCTCAGCTGAACATCGTAAAAAAAGGAGATCAAAGAATCATCCTGCTCTGCAACTTGGATCTGCAAACCAAGGCTTATGGGCAAGTAACTTAACCCTGTAACTTTCTTCCTAATATCTCTTTGCTGTATCTATATATATATATATATATATATATATATATATATATATATATATATATTTCGTGACATCTCTTTGTAAATATTGTATTGCACCTGTTTGACTTTTAGTAATAAATCTTTCTTTCTGAAAGTGTTAAACTGTTTTTAAGTGCTTACTTGCATTTCACGAATTCCTGCCTTTTGAAGAGACGCTACTGTGTTTGTTTACTCCCTGCCCAATTGGCCTGAAGTTGACCATATTGGACAGGTGACTTTTCAATCATTATAGTGTATTTCTGACAGAGATTTTCCGTCTTCTCTGTACCAAAGACGGTGGTGGCAGTTTGAAAGGGTTAGTTGCGTAATTAACCCGACCCAGTAACAAGCGCATTCAGGCTGCAGGCACCAATTGTAGCCCATTAGCTGGACAATCGCTGTGCTGGGTGGGGCCTTGTTACGCGCGTCACACGTACGATTGTCGCATGTTGGTGGCGGCGACCGTGCGATCCGTGACAATCAGCACCTGTATCGGCTCACTTTCTTTCCTGTTGGCAAAATGCTGATAAGGCTATTTTCGGCTATTATGTTTCAGCCACTGAAATTTTGGTGCAACCCTGTCATGGAGAATAATGGGAAGCAAGATGTGACTAAATATTATACACTGATTTGGGTATTTTTACCAAAGAAAAGTAGCAGAATACATTTTGGCTTAAATTTATGAAGAAATATTTATTTGCAACATTTTTTTTTTTTTTTACAGAAACAAAGAAAATTTTAGGTTTTTTTTCCCAAACTTTTCAGTATTTTTTTTTCTTTTTTTCTCTTTATATAGCAAAAAATAAAAAACCCAGTGATGATTAAATACCACCAAAAGAAAGCTCTATCGGTCTCAAAGAATGATACAAATTTAATGTAGGGGTTATCATCAACAGAAATTTATTTTTCTTATTGAAACATTGTATTTTGCGCGTTGCCTGTTCCGGCCCAAAAGGGCTGCAATGTTTGTATGGGATGGAGGGGGGGAATGGATGTATATCTTCTCTGTACTGAGTTGTAACTTCTTATGAAAAAATGAATAAACACTATTGGAAAACAAATTTAATTTGGGTACAGTGTAATTGTCATACAAAATGTGACCGCTAAAATCTGAAAATTGGCCTGGGTAGAAAGTGGGTGAACGTGTCCGGTATTGAAGTGGTTAAAAAACAGTTACGAGGAAAACATTTGTTCTGGTAATTTTTGAAGACTTTATTTTAACAATTCTACTAATAAAAATGCAAAACAGGTTATTTTGTTACAAGTAAAACAACTTTAAACCATAAAAACCAATACAGAGATTGCCAAATATTTCCAACATAAAATGCAGTTAAAAGTATTTGAATCCAAGAAAAGGAGGTGGGGTTATAACACAAGGAAAACTCATACAAATGAGCGCAGAGAGGCCACTCCAGGTGGAAACATGTGAACAGTTAATCATGAGCTCACCACTGCTGCCTTGTTAATCATTTGCATGATGAAGAGAACTGGAAAAAAAGGCGCTGTGGAAAATGCTCTCAGACAAGCACCTTAGTGGAGGTGCATCTTTATTGGGTGAGATAAAGTAGCAAGTATAATAAAATTAACCAGCCTGAAGTGGACAGTGTGATTCCAATGGACGGCCCGTCCGCTCTGAGGGGAGCTGAGATCAAAGAATGCTCCTGTTGGCTTCAAATCACGTGGTGTCAGCGTACCAGCGTCCTGGGTGGTGTCACCATGGCAAACGAACGAAGGCAGTGTCCGGCGTTGGCTTCAGCTGGGAGCATATGTGGGGTTACCAAGACGACATGTTTCGCGCAGTTGCGCTTTGTCAAGTCCTTGACAAATTTTATTATACTTGCTACTTTATCTCACCCAATAAAGATGCACCTCCACTAAGGTGCTTGTCTGAGAGCATTTTCCACAGGGGTTATAACACAAACCCATTCAGCTGGGGGGGGGGGGGGGGGGGGGGGGGGGGGGGGGGGGGGGGGGGGGGGGGGGGGGGGGGGGGGGGGGGGGGGGGGGGGGGGGGGGGGGGGGGGGGGGGGGGGGGGGGGGGGGGGGGGGGGGGGGGGACAGCCTTTTCTATCTACACGTCTGCCTATGGTAGCTGTGCTTGTCTCACTCAACATACACCTGGTCCTGGAGCTGAGCAACAATGGTTTGAGAATGTGGTTTGGGGGGGGGGGGGTGCGGAGGCTTTTGGACTGTAATCAATATGCGATATACAAGTTGCCATCTCCTCCTTGTACACTCTACATAGATTGTCATCACACATACAAGCACATAGGTTGCCGTCATCTCACACACACAGAACACAGTGTATAGGTTGTCGTTTCCTCCCCGTACACAATTCCTGGGTTGTCAACAGCTTGCACACAGAATGCAGTACACAGGTTGTCACCCCCTCACACATGGTATATGGTTTAAACACACACAGAACACAGGTTGTCACACCCCCCAGCAGCAAGCAGCTCCAGTCTAGGGGCTCCCCCAACTCAGCATTCATTAACTCGGGCGCCAGAGTGTTTTTTTTTTTTTTTTTTTTTTTTTTGTTTTTAGTCACAGTGCTATACAATTACAATGTTCCGTAAACTGAAGTGTGGTTTGTCATCTGTTTTCTGCTAATAGATATTTCCATTTAAGGTTATGTCTTGTTGACAAGCATTGAAATGTACATATTGTGCAACTGTTCTGAAGTCTTCATATATTGCTTGTTACTTTTTACAGCTGATTCCAGAAATGCCTCTTGTGGTGTTGTGTGGATTCCCCTGCAGTGGGAAGAGTAAGAAAGCCCTGGATCTAAAAAAGCACCTGGAGCAGACTGGAAGAAAGGTTTATATAATTGGAGACCATACCCTTGCTGTTGATAAGAATTCTGTGTATGCAGGTAGGGATTCCTAAGTACCTGGACACACAAGTACCTTGAAACAAAGCTGACTGTGGGATGTAAATGGGGTTCCATCAAAACAAAAGGCAAGCATGCCTTGTGGTAAACAAAGGAACAATTTATTTAAAGGATAAGTTCTTCTTTTTAACAAAATGTTGCAGGTAAAAAAATAATGTGCATTTATTATTTTATTGTTTCTGGAGCCTGTAAAGCATTGCACCAGTTATCAGCAGATTGCTGGTGTTATGCAGGTCTCCTGCAGACCTGTCAGTGTATCTGCTTGCCTGTACACCTCGTACAGGCAAAAAGACACTTACTGACAGGAAGACTCAATGAACTACCATAGAGCTGCACAGTGCCGAGGTAGTTCATTGAGCACTACAAGCTGACGGCTGCAAAGGCTGCCAAAACTTGTAGGTGTTCTCATTCACAGAATACTGTGAATAAGTGATGCAGCCTGATGTGCAGAGCCCCGCATGGCCACATCATTTTTTTTTTTTTTTTTTTACAACTGTGACAGCTAGCAGGGAGGAGAATATCCCTTGCTAGCTGTCACAGTGGGGATCGGGAGGTGCGGGGGCAGGTCCATTCGTAACATGTTACAAAAGGTGAACTTATCCTTTAAGCAGAAAAAAAACCAAATAGATCTAGTCCATTCATCTTCTCTAAAACACAACTAAAAGCTCCTGTATAATACTCTAAACCAGTTCAAATCCAGTTACTATGTGAGGCACAGGCCTCATAAAATAATAAAACTTCCTTTACCTTCCCTCTGTGAGCCAAATCCTACTTCATTTGTCTCACATGCTCCACTTCCAGACACAGCAGCTCACAATGGGAGGGTTTCAGCAACATAGGCAATCCAGAAAGCTGTGATTAGGATTAGGTATGGCCAAGTGCTGATTGACGAGCTACAGGCTTGTAAATCAACAGTAGCCATGCCCCCTGCAGCATTTTGTTTTTATTCCACTGTAGTGTATGCAGACACAACCTACACAAGAGTGGCAACTCTGCTTTGAATTCAGGAGCAGTGCAAGATTGTTGCTGCACCATCACAGGAGGCTGCTTTAGGTGGACCCTACTTACATGTTTAACATGTACACTATATTGCCAAAAGTATTGGGACACCCCTCCAAATCATTGGATTCAGATGTTCCAATCAACTCCATGGCCACAGGTGTATAAAATCAAGTACCTAGGTATGCAGACTGCTTCTAGAAACATTTGTAATAATTGGTCACTCTCAGGAGCTCAGTGAATTCAAGTGTGGTACCGTGATAGGTTGCCACCTGTTCCAGAAGTCCATCCATGAAATTTCCTTGCTACTAAATATTCCACGGTCAACTTTTAGTGGCAATAAGCAGAAGCAACTGGGAACAGCAATTCAGCCACGAAGTGGTAGGCCACATAAAATTAGAGCGCGGGGTCAGCGCATGGTGTGCAGAAGTCGCCAACTGTCTGCAGAATCAAAAGCTAAAGACCTCCAAATTTCATGTGGCCTTCAGATTAGCATAACAACAGTGCAGAGAGGGCTTAATAGAATGGGTTTCCATGGCCGAGCAGCTACATCCAAGCATGCTACCACTGGACTCTAGAGCAGTGGAGACGTGTTCTCTGGAATGACGAATCACGTTTCTGTGTCTGGCAGTCCAATGGACGTGTCTGGGTTTAGCGGTTGACAGGAGAACGGTACTTGCCTGACTGCATTGTGCCAAGTGTAAAGTTTGGTGGAGGGGAGATTATGGTGTGGGGTTGCTTTTCAGGGGTTGGGCTTGGCCCCTTAGTTCCAGTGAAGGGAACTCTTAAGGTGTCAGAATACCAAGACATTTTGGACACTTTCATGCTCCCAACTTTGTGGGAACAGTTTGGGGATAGACTCTTCCTGTTCCAACATGGCTGCGCACCAGTGCACAAAGCAAGGTCCATAAAGACATGGATGAGCGACTTTGGGGTGGAGGAACTTTACTGGCCTGCACAGAGTCATGACCTCAACCCGATAGAACACCTTTGAGATGAATTACAGTGAAGGAAAGAAGTATTTGATCCTCTGCTGATTTTTAATGTTTGCCCACTCACAAAGAAATGATCAGTCTAAAAATCAAATGTCCCTGGACAGCTCTTCGGTCTTTGCCATGGTCGAGAGTTTGGAATCTGATTGTTTGATTGGTTCTATGGACAGGTGTCTTTTATACAGGTAACAAAATGAGATTAGCAGCACTCCCTTTAAGAGAATGCTTCTAATCTCAGCTTGTTACCTGTATGAAAGACACCTGGTAGCCAGAAATCCTGCTGAATGATAAGGGATCAAATACTTATTTCCCTCATGAACATGCAAATCAGTGCATCATTTGTTAGACATGCATTTCTTTTGAATTTTTTGTTGCTATTCTGTCTCTCAGTGTTACAATACACCTGCCATTTGATTTTTAGATTGATCATTTCTTTGTGAGTGGGCAAACATTCAAAATCAGCAGGGGATCAAATACTTATTTTCCTTCACTGTAGAGCGGAGACTGCAAGCTAGGCCTTCTCATCCGACATCAGTGCCTGACCTCACAAATGTTCTTCTGGAAGAATGGTCAAACATTCCCATAGACACACGCCTAAACCTTGGCAGGCGTCCCAATACTTTTGGCAATATAATAAACTGCTGCAACACATTTTTTGAATAGTTCTACTTTAAACCTAAACTCTGGGATAAGTAAATATTGTATAAATACAAGAGACATATGTTTTCATAGTTGAATCTTGGTGTGCTTTGTGTATTTCTTTGAGATCTGTGCAGTAATGTAAAACTTTGGCTCTGTGCAGGAACATTCTGTAATAAAATTGTACATAGGTCACTAGTCTTATATCCGTTCATTTTTTTTTTTTTTAATCCTTTGTGACTATTGTAAAATACAATTACACGATCACCTTTTTTATATCTATTTCCTGGATTATTCTGCATATTTACTGGAACCACTTCAAGATTTTTCCTGGACTGAATGCAAAGTGACTGAATGTTGATCTTCCACTAATACAGAGAAAACAGACATTAATAAAAAATATTGTTGACTGCGAGTGTACAGGCATTAGTCAAATGCATGTGTTGGAATTTGTTACTACCGTGTTCACTCTCAGTTTTTGCTTTTCAACACGGCATATTCAGAATATTTATAATATAGCACTTTGGAACGTTTACAAAAAATCTTTAAAAAAATAGAAAATTCATTTTATTAATGCACAATAGTTTATACGCTTAAAGTAATAATAAAGGTATTAAAAGAATAAAAAAAAAAATGTTATCCTCCTCTTCTCGAGTCCCACACTGGCGCTCCTGGGCCCTCCTTCCTACCGAGTGCTCTCAGAGCAATTCAATGCATGAAAGGTCCTCTGCACTACCTAAAGGTGTAATACAAGTTGCTTGCTGCTGACACTGATTTTATATTCAACACAAACCATTAACATGTAAAGTGCAGCAGAAATCAACAAATAATTGACCTACTGCAACGCATGTAATATAACAATGCAATACAACCTCACTGTATCTCACTGGAATTAAACTGGTGTAACTATACCAACATATACCCTTAATGAATAATAAATCAAAGTGTAAAATAGTGTGACCAAGACCAAGAAAAAAAAAACTTTTGAAGCATAATATACATGAATGCATGTAGTGAGTCCAAAAATAAGTCAATATATAAACATCTGGTGAATTAGGAGAAATGATGAAATATTGAACTGCATTCAGTGATCCTTTAAAGTGTCATCATAGGAGAGGGTCCCACCACCATTCACTCCGCTTTCACCTGGATTTGTAAACCTTTTGCTAACAATAAGTCAATCAGTGCCTTTCCCTTTCACCAAAAGTTTTTTTTAAAAAAACCCGCAGTTTTCACCAGCCAGTTGATGGAGCTCCTCATGGTAAAGGGCACAACCAGGCTCATTCAGGGGGTAGCTTGACATCCAGGTAGCTAGCTTTTTCGCAAGACTAAATTAGCAACGGTTGTTTTCATGTTTCACTCCTGAAGGGTTTATTTACAATGATTTGATAAAATACTTGTTGAAGACCTGATACCTTTCCAGGTGTTTGGTGGATTCCCCTTATAACAGGTTAAGTATCTTAATCAAACCTATTATTTTAATGCGCTACGATTTTTGGTTTCAAGTAGTAGTCTTAATTAAAAAGTATTCTTTGTATAGAAAAATATTTCTGTATTTGTTAGATTATATCTCTTATAGTCCTGATAACCTTGTGCTGACATGAAGAAAAACCATTTTCATATTTAGGGTAGTGGTTTCTAAAGCTTCTTGTTGATTACAGGACTGTTCTTTATCAGTGTTCCCCTAATGACAGCTTTTTTTCTTCTTCAGGAACGTAGCTGTCAAATCAATTCAGGTTCAGTGCTTTGTGCTTTTGTACATAGTTCTGCTTACAATGTCACAAGGGGTTCAGACTTGACAGATATTTTACATCTTGGAATCATGTACTGCTGGAAGGCCAGTGGGATCACGTCTGGGAAGGCACTGAGACAAATCACTTTGGGACAGTTTGCAGCACTTATAGATTTGACCTGATTTGTTTTTTAAAAAGGCCTGGCTTTTCCTAGATGCAAAAAATATAACTGGATACTATTATTTATAGGTAAAGTTGATCCAGGGTATATCTGATTTCTTCTTGGGGGATCAGGAAGGAGTTTTTTTTTTTCTTCCCCCACTGGAGCAAATTGGATCATGCTTTATTGTTTTTTTGCCTTCCTTTGGATCAACTGTGGGTATAGGATTGTGTATTTTATACAATTGTATATGATTTTTTCCCTTCTTTTGGTTAACCTGGATGGACTTGTCTTTTTTTCAACTAGACCAACCACAGTTAGTCTGCAGTTACTGTATGTAACTACCTAAAAACAGAGCAGATACTATAAACAGTATGTATTTCAACTGTGTATTTAGCTGCTGATCACAGTCACCTATATCTAAAGTTCTTTTTTACTGTTTGTTTTCTTCTATTAACTTGATCTGCCTAGAGAAGGACAGTGAAAGCTTCTGTACCAAAGGTGACTCTGCTCATCTGAGTATCTTATTATCACCAAATTGTTTACATTTATTAATTTTATTTATTTTTGTGCTGGATCAGTTTCACAAAGATGATTAGCTGGCCAAAGATCTATCATTAACATCTTCCCACTCACCCCAGCATCCCTTTTAGCAGTTCTGAATGTTTGGGAGGTGGGGAAAGATCAATGATCATGTGACCAATGTCGCATGATTGAAAGCCAGGTCCGCTGGCTACTGATCTTTAGCCTGGACTGAGTTTTTGATATCAGTCTGTGTGATGGGAGAACACAGTGAGTGCGCTCTCGGCACATAAATATCGGCCACCCAGCAATGTGCAGCCTGTGGGCGTTAATTCCAACGCACTTATGTTAGGTGATCAAAAAGGGGTTAAAGAACCCCTTTCCTTTCCCACTATTTATAGATACCACTGCTAAATATGAAATGTTCAGCTTAATGGCCTGTTCACATCGTCTCCTTAGAAAATGAATGTTCAGCTGTGTTTTTACATGCTTCTTACATACATTTTCCTCCCATTTTTTTTTTTTTTTCCTTCCTTGCAAACATTTAAATCGTGGACTTAATGAAAGCACAGTAACTAAGTAGCGCATTGTATATTTTTAATGTGTTTTTCAATGAGATACCTTTGGCTATAATATACATTTTTATACAAGAACCACACAAAAGATGCAAAAAGCAGAATTTTTCAGTAGCAACACACTAATATGAAGAGCTTTAGGCCCAGCATTTTGTAGCGTGAAGTTCGAAGCTCCAAAATGCTCGGGGAGCAAAAAAAAATCTATATTACTCTATGGAGATGGTTCACATCTCCACTCCAAATTGCTGGAAGCAGAACACCTGAAACTCAAAAAAAAGTTATGGAGTTACTTTTGTAGCTCCATTCAGGCAGATTGCTGTGTTTTTGGTGTGTTTTCATTCCCATAGAAATACATGGTGCAAATTGCACTTTAGCGCATTTTGACACGTGAAAAAGAGTGGTTTTCTGGCATGGCAAAACATGGCATGAATTGATGTCACAGATGAAATGTTTTTCTGTTGGCTAAGAGTTTCAGAAGTCGGGGGGGGGGGGTTTTAGGGTAATGTGACCGCCCTGATTCGCCATCACGGTGGTCACATGAACGGAAAAGGTGTCGATCGAAAGGGGAGTCACGGACACGTGCTGGGAGCGTGCAGGGCGTGCGCTCTCAGCACATATGTATTTTCTAATTGCACGCAATATGCGATCGCTCGGTGTCAAGGCCCAGACACCGAGAAGCCGCATATTTGCGTGCGATCGGTGTCAAGGGGTTAAAGAATTAAACCCTTTTCAATAGAATGATATGACTTTCATAAAACATCAATATTGTATATGACTAATATTCTATAATAATGACATCCTCAATCATTTTTAAAAATGGAACTATAGAAGGGTCTATAGCATAGAAATGTAGTGGGTATGTTTTTTTGTTTTTTTTTTCATTAATTTAATTATTTACGTATTCTGATTTTATGCCGATTTTTCATATTTTGATTAAATCTAAAGAAAAAAAAAAAATAAAGTAGGCACAGGACAGTGGTGGTTGCTAGGAGATGATGTGAGTGTGATGAAATGTCATTAACGTGTGTGAAAAGCTGCGCATGAAAACCCGTGTCATCTGTTACTGCAGGCAGAACATATTTATTGTGTGAGTAGTGTAAATAAGATCTATATATTGAATTCAGAATGAGTGTCCTTCAAATGATAACAGTTGTGCATACTTAGTAATGTATCAGTATCTCCCCATAGACTAGTTCTTCAGTAACACACAAGGCTTATCCTGAATTGTCCAAGATAATGATAAACTCCGCAGGAAAGAAGATTTTAAATTCTGAACTTGTATAGCTGTGTTTTTTGCAATAAAACAGTCCATCATAACCAGAAATGGACACACAACAGTGTTAAAAAGAACAGAATAAATCCACTTGCACCAAAAAGGGACCTTGAATCCACTCCTAATGCAGGCCATACATTATGCAATTTTCTTTCCGTTCACCATGGGTGGAAGGACATAAAGTTCTCATTTCTCATCAGCATCGGGGGGATCCCCCCCCCCCCCCCCCCCCCCCCCAACGTTCTGCCAGTGGGGAGACTTCCCTGCCCCCTTCACCCCTGAACAATCCAACAGACTGGTTGTACTGAAGTCAGTCGATGTGTCAACTCCAGTACAGCCAGCCTTCCCATAGATGGATCGAATTTCGACCGATCCTTGCTCAACCAGCCGAGATACAATCCATCTAGGGCTGCCCTAATTGAAAATGCTGCATACCAGATAGTAAGACCTCATATATGCCATGAGATAAGCTGTTCAGGACAACCAAGTATCAATCCACTGATTGATCCCATTTGAGTTCCCCTTAATCTGGTCACTTCAACCTACAAAGCGAGGAAAAGATCTTCATCTTCATCAAGCATATGTGTATATCCTTGCTGGTTGTTTTTTTTTTTTTTTTTTTTTTTTAAAGTATTTGAAGTCAAGTTGTTAAACTAATTTAGCTGTTAAAAAAAATGGTGCTTGTTATAACCAACCAGATACATTATTACAATTTCCAACTAGGAGAAATACAGGTCTTCATCTGGTTAAGAACAGCATTTTCTGTATGAACAAGAGCCAGTGCTTCCCATAGGAAGCAGTCCCATTTTTTTCAAAGCAACATACAAAAAAAATGCCAGTAATTACATGTATTAAAAGAACCATGTCATGGGAGAAACATGGAGGCTGCCTGTGGTTCTGAAAATGCTAGCTGTCATATTGACCCTCTTTAATACTTTACGCCAGCAACCTGGAACAAGTAAGTGAATTTGATTTCCCTGATCTGCAGTATTAAAGTAGAACTATAGGCAAAACTTTTTTTTTATTATTTTGGATAGAGTAAAGGGAGATTTCCCTTCACTTCCTGTTCCATAGCCAAAACAAGAAGTGAGAGAAAATCCCTGCAAATTAAGGGAATCCGTTGGGACCTCCCAAGTCATTGGAACTAGTGTTTCTCTTTGGAGGATTTCCCTCCTATTACTTTTCTGAGGACAACCCACATTTGGTATTTTCTTGTTACTTTCAATGATACTAGGAGGAGTCGCCCTCTTTATTTGTTCTTTTTAGTAACTGCGTCACTGACCACAATAAAAACTTAGGTGTTCTAATCCAGCTCCATGCTGCCCAAAACAAAAAAAGTTTTGCCTTTTATACTTTAAAGCAGGGGTCTCCAAACTATGGTCCTCCAGGTGTTGAGGAGCTGCAAGTCCCATGAGGCTTTGCAAGACTCTTGACAGCCACAGGCAAGACTCCCAGAGGCATGATGGAACTTATAGTACTTCAGTAGCTGGAGGGTCATAGTTTTAGAGACTCCTTCTTTAAAGCAACAGGATCAGCATAACAGCTAGGCAACCAGCATTTTCACAAAATTTTCACCAATAGCAGTCTAAGTGTTTCTTTCCTTATAGATTTAATTTAAAACCATTTTGTTCTCCCTGTGCCTGCATGGGTGTCCTCTGGGTTCTTTGATTTCCTTCCTCATTCCAAAGACATGCTGGTAGGTTAATTTGGTCCTAGTATGTATGTATATGTATGAATGTGACTTAGGAGCCTTAGATTGTACACCCCTTGAGGGTTAGGGACTGATGTGAATGTACAATATATGTTTGTAAAGCGCTGTGTAAATTGACGGCGCTATAGAAGTACCTGTAATAAATAAAAAACTAAATATTTTATACTTTGGACGCTTATATTTTTCCTTGCCAAGGTTTGTTTGATACTTAATGTTGATGCAGGTTTACCCTTTTGTCTCATAAGACAGTAATGGGGATTTATTTATTTTTTGCAGATTCCAGGAAGGAGAAGGATTTACGGGGAGCTTTAAGAGCTGAAGTAGAAAGGTTAGTACATTATTAACAAAATGTTACATTTTACTGGGTGACTAAAGAAAATGAGAGAAAATGTGCTTACAGAAGCCATCAATGTAATTTGTCAAATTACACACAGTCCCTGCAATTTAGAAAGTGTCAGACACTCTTTAGAATTCCATTATGGCTTCACACCACAAATGTCCATGCCTGTGAAGAATTAATGTACCTCTTAGAAATAGACATGAGGTCAGTGTCTCCTTGTTGGACACTCCATCTTCAATTCAGGTGCAGCCCATTTCCTTAATCTGCTGCACAGCAGGATTGATTGCTAAGACACTATGGGCTTTGGAGTCCACCATGTCAGAACAACCAATGACTAATCCGCAGCGCCATTCAACTGCTGGTCTGGATTTTACCTAGTTGACAGCTGATAGTAAACAAAGAGGATGGATGCAAAAGAATAAATATCAAACACAAAGCAGTCCGAAAATTCAGCAGTCCTCCATGCCAGCCCTGTCTGAATTGTTTTTTCCTGGATGCTGCTTCGCTCAATGTGGCTTCTACCCATTCAGCCACATTGTTCTACCTGCTGGGGAAACATTTGATGCTGTGCAGTAATTGAAACCTCACTCCTGGTCAGCAGTCACAACCCTGTGGAGTGCCATTGTTTCTAACTAATATTTTCAAATAAACCTGTTAATCAGTCGGACAACCAGTATATTATTATACAGAATAAAATCATGATTTCATAGACGCCAGACATGATACGGATGTTATGTATGGCTTCCCCAGAAGGGGTAATGTGTCTCAATGGCTTTCCAAACCTTAGAATATAAGAATGTTTAGTATCTAACTGTTCATTATTTTCCTATACATTCGTGTATGCTTGTTATGAATGTAATAGTATCACAACCAAGATAATGTGTAAAGTCTGAGAGGAGTTTCAAGTCAAGTAAAGTCAAATGTGTATACTTCTAAATGGTTTTATGATTTTGACCAGGATACATTAGAGCCTGTTATTACTTTACTAAAGGTTTTATGCCATGACAATTTTTTTGACTTCGCTAGGGTTTGACAATTTTCAAAAGACTTCTAATTAAGTACTGTTTGTACATCCCAACCTGATCTGCTTGATCCAACGTGTGCTGGTGGTGATTTTATGATTTTAGGGGGGGGGGTGATATGAAATGTGTCAGCATAATGTAATCATGTTGTTGGCTTGCAAATTTTTGAGAAGTGAGAGGTGGCACTGTGCACAACACAACGACCCCATTATCCCCACCCAGTTTGGGGTCCTAAGACATAATTATTGTCACATGGTCCTTCAAACTTTGCTAAATACTATATTTAATTAATAAAATACTTCATACTTGTATGGAAAATGTGTATAGAAGCAGGTATTCGGTGAACCATTTAGTAACTGCTGAGAGTCTGCTATAAGCAGCATCAAAACCAGCTTTGAGCCAGGAGTGCAGTCAATGGTGGGAGTCTCAGCTTTAAAGAAAATGGTAACATGAAAGGGTATTAGCAGTAATGTATGCCATTTCCAAAGTTTCCCTTTCACAGTGCTTGCATACCATTTCAAAAGTCTCTCTTTCACACTGCTTGCATATGACCAAAAGATTCATACAGCTTTTAGCTCTTAGCCCCAGTTCACACTGGATCCAACTTTGAAATTGTGTGACTTCACTTGAAGTCGCATGGCTTCAAAGTCAGATGGCAGTACGACTTGGTGTGCGACTTGCATAAACATCGGTGCGACTTCATGCACATATTTTTCTGCAAGTCACCCCTCCAAATTTGCAAAAGTAGTGCAGGAACTACTTTTCTAATCTGTGTAACTCTAATTAGAACCGTTCCATTGCCGATCATTGGATGTGATTTTGTCATGCGGTTTGAACGGTCAAATCACATGACAATTCGCATCAGTGTGAACCAGGCCTTAGTCATGACATGGGTAATAAACTAAAAACATACATAAATACAGCAAAAGCACACTGGCGTCAGAAAATAAGTAAAATGCAGGTCTAATATAAAATGGATTAGAAACCCTCACAAGCATATAAATCATCATCACTTATTGATGTGTTCATCAAAAGATGTCCCACTGTAATCCAGCATTCATACATAGACATCTAGTCTGTAAATAGTCTAGTCTTTCATGTAGTTTAAAGCAGAACTTCACCCAAAAGGGGAAGTTCCGCTATTCCTCCTCCCCTCCAATGCCACATTTGGATTAATTTTTTTTTTTTTGGTGGTACCCACTTCCACTCGGATCACCTAGGCGATCCTAGTGGAAGTTTTTCTCCCTGATTACAATCTTCTGGGACACGTCAGAAGACCCAGAAGGCTGCGTGACCGGTCACAAAATGCAGCGCAGCAAGTAGCCGACTGCCCACAGTTAAGGGACCCGAAGAACGGTGAGGAATTGGTCTGGGTGAGGATAGCGCTGGATCCTTGGCCCAGTAAATTGTCTATTTAAAGTCAGCAGCTACAGTTTTTGTAGCTACTGACTTTTAATTTTGGCACATCTGACTGAAGAACCGCTCTAACTCTGGTTTGATTGCAGAATGTGTCACTAGCTGGCGAGTTTCCAGAAGTCCCCTTCCTCAATGGTTTTGAAGCCACAGACAACTGGACAACTGATATTTCCAAAAGGATGTCAGCAAGACGATTTTCGGGGATGTACATCATGGATTACTATACATTGCTTTAAAGGGATGATCCTGAATTAACTGGCTGCTCTAAAACCATTTACTCATATTGCTTGTAATGATCTTGTAATTTCATCAAAAGTCGGGCTTAAGTAGAGAATTAAATTGTAATTGTAACCATCTTTTCTACTGGCTTTTATGAATTAAGTGACCCTTCTTGGTAGGAAATATTGTTTATTGTGAATATTGTCCAATGTTTTTTGAGGTTGCAAAAGGCCTTTACTTTTCCTAATGAAAAGGCAAAAAAACAAGAATGAATCTTAATTTTGGGGGAAGCATTGTATCTTGGGATTCAAGTGGATTAGATTTAGCAGATTCTCACAGGCTTGAACTCAAATATATTATTGTTTTCTGCTATTTTAGGAAATTGAATAAAGAAGATGTTGTGATTCTGGATTCTCTCAACTATATTAAAGGTGACTTCATTTTCCTACTGTCCTCTGGTTAAGATATTGTAGCAAGAACAATTAGATTTACCATTTTGTAGTGGTGTGAGGCCACTGATGCTTGAATTTACTAACCGTATGAGTTTCCTACTGCTGATGTTAGGGGCCTGACAAATTTAAGGCATGTGTAATCTGAGATTTTTTTTTTTTATTCATTCATGTCACTGGTTTGCTGTATTGGAGTGAAAATTATAGCACACTTCAAATTATTATTCATTTGTAAGTGAATCTGATCTGAAAGGTTAACACCAGTACTGATGTGTAGGCACCTTGTGGTGTCTGCAGGCCCCTGTGTGAGCCTTCAGATTAATACTGTACTGTAATCCTTGTGGGGCCCATGAATCCTAGACCTAGGCAGTATCAACCAGTGCCAAGCCGTATATGTGGCCACTGAACTATCAGTCTAGCTTAGCTACTGAGCAATTACAAGCCCTAAATTCTATGGAAGTTTACCAGAGAACCAGATGCATTACCAACCCTTTTTGGTTGAAGGCCTGGCTCTGCCCCCTGTTCGTTCCGTTGCCAGGGGCCAGGGAACAGAAAGTATGGTCAATATATTAGAACATCCACAGAAATTTAGGATACATGTGCTTAGTAGCCTAATTGAGCTTGTGAGCAGATGCCACAAAGCTCTTCTATCCATTGTATGTTTGATGTTACTTCTGGTTGACTTTTGAAATGCAAGTCTACCCAAAATTACAATTTCACTTTTTGTTTCCTAAATTTTCCATCATTGCTGGTGGAGGGGACTGACCTGACCTATGACCATTGACTTGTTCTGCAGTCCTATATTTGTCTCAGACACGGAGACTTTAGATTAGATCAATCAGTATAACCTCTCAGTTAATGGAACCAGACATATGATAATTAAACAGACAGCAGATGGTAACTAAATATTCAAATCGGGTGGGAGCAGATAACAAGTGCCTTTTGCAGTCAATTACATTAAATATTTGATCTAAAGCATAACTTGCCTTTGTTCCTTCTACATACTTTACTCTTAATGTAATGACCCAGTAATTTCATGAACTTTAGCCTTTTGATGCAATTCCTTTTCGTTTGCCCTCTGCATGGTACCATGATCCATCCAATAACTGCAGGTGGTGTGCTAACTTTACAGATTCATCATACAAATCTGATTAATTTTATATTATTTCTGGATTTTTCTTTTACTGTATCTGTTTTCCTCACGCTTGTAAGCCAACCTCATTTGGTCATTTGGATTAGGCAAATACTTAACAAATATAGTCAATTAAGGATAAGTTCACCTTTTAATTAAAAAAAATAATAATAAATGCACCTTTTTTTGCAGGTTAAAAAAAAAAATGTTTTTTTTTTTCTTCGGAGCCTTTAAATCATTGCACCCGTGAGTAGCAGACCAGGGCGAAGTCCTGTATGGCCACACTGTTTCAAATTGTGACAGCAGCTTTGGGGAGAAGATCCCCAGCTTGCTGTCATGGGGGGGGGGGGGGGTCTTGGGGAAATCGGGGAGAGCTGCAAGAGCAGGAACATGTAGCATTTTGCCAAAGGTGAACTTATCCTTTAACACGCACATGGGTTTTAATGTCACTGCCCAGTTAATTTTATAATGCAGTTAAAAGCAATGAAGAATTGCTGAGTGCCATAACCTATAGAAATTGTGTACTGTGCCATGAAAAATACATTGAATGTTATTGGTTACTGCTCTTTGTACATTGTTTTTAGCCTTGTTAAAACAGCCCTCTCTTTGGTTTTTGTAATGTCACAAGATCCTAGTAAGCTAATGGGGGGACTACATTCAAGCCAGGTGAATACACTTTAGATACGTTTTTGATATGACTGTGAATGACAAAATGCAGGTTTGCAAACAAAAAAAGTGCTGCAGGCAGGGTTTCTTTCCAGTGTATCCCTGCGCAGTGTGTTGATCTGTACCTGAGCAGATTAAAACAATCCCTCTTGACAAGCATTTGCACCAAAAGTACAGAGGCTACTCCCAGAATCTGAACAAAGTGGTGGAAGGGGAAAATTAAAGGGGAGTATATGCAGGGCCAGTGCTAGACTACTTTGCGCCTTAGGCAACATCAGCTACTTGCACCCCCTCTGCAAAAAAAAAAAAATTCCACACAGAGCTAATCCTTGTCAGTGTTAGCTCTATATGAAGAATGTTTGGGGAGCTGGAAGGTAGTGATGATGTGCGCACAGCCACGAATTGGCTGAAGTTTGCAAGATTAAGCTTCGTCTCCAGCTAACATCATCCAGTCCTGTCTGGGGACAGTAATACTAGGACCCAGAAGTGACGTTTTACATGTTGCTTCCGAGTCATTAACAGGAAGGGGAGATCAGTGAACAGGTGTTCACTAATCTCCATCCCTTCTACCGGTGGCACCCACCAAGTCCCAGGTCTGCTGATGGGAGCACAAGCCTGGGAAGCATGGCATGGCACATGGAGGGTGTGGAAGTGATCTGGAGGCTGCACAACTATTAGACCATTTCCACCTGACAGTCAGCCTTTCAGATTTACACACACTCAATGAGATGCTTCCTGTTTGTTCTTATTTACACTTGTGTTTGAGGGGTATGGCGGCAAGGGGGTGGGGTTTACACAACACCCCGCCACTATTGCCATACTACGATGGCAGTTCCTTTGCAGCATAACGGGGAGTAGTTGGGGGAGGGCAAAATTGTGGCTCATTTTTTAAAGTCCCTCAAACAAGTGTGAATAAGAACAAACAGGAAGCATCTCACTGTGCTTATGTGATCATCATTGTGATGATGATGATCATACAGTACAGAAGGTGCTGTTATGTCTGTCTGTGTAGAGCATATGGCTGTATCTCTGTCTCCCTGTGCACCGGCCAACTCTCTGTTGAATCACCTCCCGCTGCTGAGGTACAGCCTTACCTTCCGCCCTTCTCAGCAGAGGAAGGGATAATCACTCCACCAGCAAAAGGCCATGAGCAGTGGCGAGCCCTACATATCAGTATTGCAAAACACAGCAGTGTGCCTGAAATTTAAAAAAAAAAATTCTCTCTCTCTGCTCCTCGCCTCCTGGGCCCCTCTGGTGAACTGATGGGACCCAGAGAAAATATAATTAATGTTACAGCAAGGCTGGCTATGCTGCCCTATCGGATGGCCTGGCCGTGGCTGCGCTCCAGTTGGCAGTGCACCTTAGGCGGCTGCCTAGTTTGCCTAGTGGTAGCACCGGCCTTGAGTATATGCACCATGGCTGCAGTTTTAGGTGTGCCAAATAGTTTATTCCTCCTGCTTTCCACTGTCACTTCAGGAAAATCACAGCACTCAGCAGGGGACATGTTGTGGCTACATCTTGAAGTGCTGTATATCAACAGTGCTCCTAGCTAGGGGTGGACTGACCATTTGGAAATTCGTGCACTGCCCGAGGGCCCGGGGCCAGTAGGGGGCCCCGTGAGATTCTCCTGGTACCTTTTTCATAGACTTTTTTTTTTTTTGAGTTTGGGCAAGGACACAGGGGCCCCATAATCCCCTATTGCCCGGGTGCCCCGTGGGTTGTCAGTCCGCCCCTGCTCCTAGCTTTACAAGAGCAAAGTTTTCATCAGCTGCAGCTGGAGAGGTACCTAAGTATGCAGCCTTTTATATGATAAAGCAGAGCTGTTTGGATCTTTTTAGAGAGCATTATAAACACAGCAGATGAAATATCTGTGCTTCAGTTTCAGCAAATAGCTTAATATATGCTTTTATATAGATACATATCGTGAAACCAAAAAGGCAGGAATTAATTTTATGTTTACGTGACACACCCCAAATTCCTAGGTCCTCTATGCTCATCAGAAACACAGAGAGGTGGAAACACACTTTTAAGGCCAAGTCCACTTTTTGCAAATAAATATACCAGTATTAACTTATAAAAATGAATTTTAAAAATGTGCATTCATTATATTTTTGCATATCGGCTTGGAAAACATTACAACCGTGATCATGGATCACAAGTGGAATGTCCTGGCTCCTGCAGACTGTTCTTGCAGCCACAGGACAGATCTTCATTTACAAGGTTGGAGGGAGCACCAGTGGGCTGCCAGTGCAGTGACGTCCTCCTACTTGTGCTCTTTTGAGATCTTCAAGTCCCTCTTCCATGATTCCTGTGAATAAATGACACAGCTATTCAGTTGGAGCTACGTACAGCCATACCAGGTTCAAATCTGACAGGAGCCGGTGGGGAGAATAGCCACTGGTTCTGTAAAGGTTGGGTGAGCGTCAGAATAAGTACATGTGACCAGTGTTGTATTTAGGTTTTGTGCTGCCCTAGGCCCATATACCGGCAACCCCCCCCCCAGCGCTAGACAGACACTCTCAGCTCTGGACATCCCTGGGAGTCAGGCTCTGCATACACCGTCAAGCAGCCGGCAGCCTCTCTTGGATCCCACCTGCTCCCCATGCCGCATGTGTCCCTTCTTCTGGGTGGTGGTACTGCCCCCCTGAAATATGCCGCCCTAGGCAAATGTCTTGTTTGCCTTGCGGTAAATACGCCCCTGCATGTGATTAGACCCAAAAAAAAAAAATGCTCGTTAATCAAATTTTTTTAAACAGCAACATAGCCTAAACATCTTTTTCAATAAGAAATCTGTCCCAAATTTAGAATATCACATAGAAAAAAAATTTAGCAAGTACAGGTCTAGAAAGCAAACATTGCTTTGGCTAAAAAACAGTTAATATTTTTACTAAAATGATTTAGTTTGCAGAATGTGCTGGGCTTCAGTACCACCATTTGTACACTGAATTCTGTTTCTAATTTATATTAGTTGAACATTGAGTTTGTGAATTTGTCATACATACTTATAAAAACACACATTAATTATTCTTGTATTGAAGGCTGCTTCGAAAAACCTTTTATTTTTTTTTATTTATTTTTTCCTTTTCAACTGAGTATTGGTATAAAAAGTTGGCACTGACATGAGAATATGCAAGACGTATAAATATTCTTACAATGGTCAGTTAATAGGAAGTTGGAACTATAGCTGGACCTATATAAAAGGACATAGATATAGGACATTAGATGGCAATTTGACACTGTTTTCCCATTGCAATTTTTCATAGGCACTGCTTTTGTTCATGTTCCATCTTATCCTAATTGAACATTTTACATTTACCTTTTGTCATTTTTTACATATAAATTTATTTTTTCCCAGGGTACAGATATGAGCTGTTCTGTCTCATAAAACATGTACAGACTCCACACTGCCTGGTATGTCATATTAATGTTGCATATTTACTGTGAATAATTATTTTATTTTAAAAATATGTATTTGCTTGTAATAGTGTAATTCAACTCATGTCAGTTACATTTTAGTTTGATTTGTAATTTCACTTTTATAATTTATCTAAAGCTTTAAAAATGTACTAGTACCTAGTCAGTGTGGTTGATTTACTAAAGAAGTAGAGAATACACCTATCAAAATGAATATTTTCCTTTACAAAAATCAGTTTAAAAAAAATTCTGTCACGTGATTGGGTGTTCAAAGTCATCTCATTCACTAAACTAAGGGAACAAAGTGAACATTCACATTGGTAACCAGTCTGTACTCTTTTTGAAAATTCCATTATGTTCCACTGGTTAAAAAAATTGTGCAGCATGTTTCTGCCATTTGGTTTCTGGTGTGCAGAGTATAATGTTGCAGCATAGGATCTCCTTTAGTTTGTCTTAGGTGTAGACAAAATATAGACTCCTCTAAACTGATTTTTTTTGGATAGGTTGGTGTTGTGAATTGACCTCAGATTAGCCTACAAAGTATGGCCTTAAGGTGGAATTTGACCCACACCATCATCGTTTCGATGCTGCATCTGTCCCTTCCACCTCTACATTGGGAATTGCACAATCAAAGACAGCTGATTGCTCGGTTCTCTGTCTTCAGTGAGCAGAGAGCTGGTGACTGACAGTCACCATCTCTCTGCTCTACCCCTCCAGTGCTCACTGGAGTGCCGGGCTGTGAAAGGGGGTGGGAGCAGCAGGCTCTCAGCTGCAAGACTGAGCCAGCTGCCGATCCAGGCTTCTGGGTGGATCCCAACATTAAAGTACACTCTTGTGATCCCCAGGAGAAATTGCTTTGGACCTACTTCTCATTTAGCCCTCATGCACACAGTACTTTTTGCCAACTCTCCTAGAAGCCTTTCCTCCTGGCAGTAGTGTTTTGGGTGAAAAAAAAACACTTAAAACTTGTAAAAGTGTATAACGCGGTTAGATGCATTTAGGTGTGTTTACAGGCGTCATTCGTTTTTTTTCTGTCAAAATGCTGCTTTTCCTAGACAGTGGGGGTTTTTTCTGCTTCTAAACTTCTGTGCTTCTAAAAGTCTGTATGTGCATGGAGACCTAGGCTAACATACAGGGATGTTTAGAGGCAGAAGAAAAAAAAAACTCGGCGTTCCTAGTAGCATCATCCAGTGTGCACAAGGCCTTAAAGTGTCACTAAATCCACATCATAAAGAAAAAAATCAGTAAATACTCTATTCCATGCTGTTCATATTCACTCAGTCACTATGCCATTCTTCAAAAAAACCAGGTTGATCCTGCTGTTCTCTATCTCTCCCTTCTGTCCATGTCCCCAATACAGTTGGGGATTTTGCAGAACAGCGTTGGCAGCTACTGCACATACTCAGTTTTCAGTGTATTTTCTACCCTGCGCATTTCCTTCCTTTCACATCTGAGCAGCCCATATGAGTATTGAGTCACACATCTGGGTGTATACACAGTAGTAAATGACAGCCCACTCCATCCTTACTCCTCCATGCCCACTAACCAGCTAAACACAATGGGGGTGGGATATTACATGTAGATTGATGGAGACTTCCACCTCCCTTTTATTCTAACTGGCAGAATTCCGCCCATACCATGTTATTGCAAAAAAATAAATAGATAAACATTGATTTGATGTCAAATATATATTTGTATGACAATTTAAAACAGTTTATTGACATGATTTATTTTTACTGTATCCCAAAGGCTGTGTTTTTTTTTTGTTTTCTATTTTGAACATGTGGCCAGCAGCAGAGGACTAGAAGCTCCTCCTGCTTATGTTTCCCTGCAGACAGGCTGGGAAAGAGCTGGGTCATGTGACAGCTGTATATCGATTAGGCAAAAGGTACTTAGATGTTTATTTTAATTAAAATAATTACAGTGCAATTGTAAAATTACAGTAATTACTGTACAATTAAAATAATTTCAGTACAAGGGACAACCTAAATTAAGCAGTGTGTGTTTAGTATCACTGTAAGGTTTGTTAGATCATGGAGCATTGTTACATTTGTGATTGAAAAACAAATAACTTTACCAGTTTTTCTGTGAAGAAACTTTTGTGGTGTTCATTGCAACCAATTAAAAGTCTAATTTTACCTTTGAACTAGAAAAAATTACTCCTCGAATCTGCTTTGTTCAATTGAGCTATAATTCATCAGACATAATGTTATGTATACTTTAGTGGGGGCCGACAGGCTTTGTTGTCTATTACTGTGATTTCAATTATGGGATGTAGGATTTAATGAAAAAGAGTGCTTGTTTGTAAATCATGTCAAAAATAATCTGGTTCAGCAGTAGTCAGGGTAAAGTGTTAGACTATAAGGATTCTTATAAAACAAATTACATTTTCATTATTTGTGCTCATGCTTCCTGTCTAGGTGTGAAAGGTTTGACCTCTCAATTAGTTATAATAATCCTGAGATTTCCACTTGGTATTCTGACTACAATGGATTTTCCTATTAGCACCTGCATTATCTATAGACATGTGTCCTGAGATGTCATCTTTTCTTTGTACTGATTTTAGAGCTAATGAGCACCATTTTTTTTTATTTGCTTGGTGTGTTACTACTGATCCTTGAGGAGCTGTAGCTTACAGGACACTGTGACGGGTGATAATGAAATACCGTGAACCCAATACTTTGTTTTTGCAGATCCACTGCGTGACAGCCCCAGATGTCAGTTTCACCTGGAATCAGGACAGGCAGCCAGATGAGCAATATACACAAGACATGTAAGTTGGGGATCTGTGGACCTCCATGGCAATCCACAAAGTAATCTGTGTTTATGTAGGATATAATTGTTGGATTTTATTCTAAATTTGTATACTAAAAATGTTTTTTTTTTTTTCTTTTCAGTAAAAAATTGTGCATTATTTTTTCCACAGGAGCCTGCAAAGCAATGTCAGGGTCCTGCATACTCTCACTTCAGCTTTTTTCCTGTACCTCTGCATGAGCTTTTAGTTAGAAAGCTGGAGGAAGTGTGAATGGGCTACGAGCATGCTGATCAGCATAGTTATAGTCCATTGATCCCTGTGAATGAATGAGGAGCTGGGCATAGACACAGAGATTATTTCCTGCAACCACGGGTTGCAGGAAAGAAAATTACTCGATTCCCCCATCAACACAGTCAGTGTTGATGGGGAATCCCTCCTGCAGAGCCATTGTGTTCTCCCGGAAGGGATGGCTTCCCCGCACAGTGATTACTTCTAGTGCCTATCATAGCCGCTAAAAATAATCGCATTTAAAATCCCAGAAGCTGGTTGTATTCAAGTTGATCGATCAACTTGGGTACATTCAGCCTGTGCTCATACATGGTTCGAATCTCGGCCGGCCCTTGCTGAACCGGCCATGATTTGAACCGGCTTTGGTCTATACCTTAATAACCCAATACTCATTGGGTGGCCTGTAACAAATTCCAGTTTTCAACTTTGAAGTACTCACAACCATTTGCATCTCCACCTATAATGCCTCAACACTATCACAATCTATATCAGGGGTAGGAGATCTACCTGAACAACGTGAAAAAGATCACCAGGGTTTGATGCCTTTTTTTTTTTTTCTCTTCAAGAAATAACTAGCAAGGCCTAACTAAATAGTAAGGTAAACATCAATTGGCAGGTAAATCACAATCGACAGCTTGCTGGTTCAGCTGTCTATCAAAATTTAGGTTCTCTTTCACTCTTGTTTTAGATCACTTCCCTCATAGAGATGGACATCGCCACCTGTTGGTTTTACCCTCTCTCTCCAAAAGAGATTATAGCTAGGAATATTCATAAATACCAATTAAATCATAGTCTTCTTTATGGCCCAAAGCTTCTTACTCTCCAATTTGGGTTTGCTGATTTCTGGCATTGGTGAACATAAACTTTAATCTATTGTTGCATTTACTTGTGTTTAGCATATATTTTTTTGTAGTACAAATAGTACTCTAATTGCATTGGCTGTAACATGGGAATCTGCTTACGAGTTGCCATAGCCCTCTCTCCATTTTCCACCTTCCGTTATTGTCTGAATCCTATTTGACTAGTCTGCTCAATTATATTTCCCCCCCCCCCCCCCCCCTGAATTTTAGTTTTAAATATTCCTCCAGCCATCCCTTAAATCTCTTCCAGCACAACAGACCCCCATGCGGCGCAAAACCAACTTTGGTGTAAAGGTTGGTCCCCATTGAAAAGTCAGCTTAATGCTCTAGAAACCCAAATCCTTCACTTACATAAAGTAGATCATTCAAATTGCACATATTGATAGTGTAAGGCTTTTGTTTAATTTCATAGGTAAATAATGGATCCCAACCAGAAGCAACATGCCGTCATTGAGTTCTTTACAAAGGAGGGGTGCAGGCTGTCAGACATCCACAGAAGGTTACAGAATGTTTATGGAGATGACACCATTGACAGGAGCAATGTGCACAGACGGATGAAGAAGTTTAAGAAGGGGAACTAGCGTTAAAGACAAACCACACAGTGGGAGACCATCAACTGTGAGCATTCACATGAATCGTTAGTGAGTGAAACTCAGCAATGGCACTTTGCTCCTGCATGTAATCCATTATTTACCTGCGAAGAAAAATAGTTACTATAGAGGAGGAATTACTCTACCAGCATGGTGATACATGCCATGTGTTGGGATGCATTAGAGAGCCTTTCCCAACACATACAACAAAGCTAGAAAGCAAGCATGATCTGACGAAATCCAATCTCTTTGTGACATTTCATTAAAGCTCTCGCAAAGAAAATTAAACAATGTGATGAGTTGTTTTCAGTGCATAGACTCAGCTGCCTTTCAGTGCACACCTCTGGCAGTGCGTTAGTGCATGCTGGTGGTGTGAATGAACCCTTAAGGGTTACATAGATACACCATAAAGATCATTAAGATATGTCCTACATATGAGGACTGGCCATAGCAATGTTTTATACATATTTTTCTATTTTTGTTATTGTACTTTGTGACTTAATATTGTGCCCTTTTGGGTGGTATTAAAAATAAACATTTTATTATATTACAGCTTACCATTTCTTAGATGTGATGGCTGCATTAATTTTCTTTTTTAGGCTTTCTTCTTCTATTTTCATCTGTTGATCCAGCCAGTTAAGTCTGTTGCTTTTCAAAAGAACAAGCTTCCCAGCAGAATGTATCTGTTAGAGATGAAACAAGCCATTTAACAGTAGCATGGGTGCTTACAATGATCAGCTTTATTTATGCAAAACTTTTATCTTAAAAGAGGAAAATTCTGTTTCCTATAAATGCTTTATATATGAGCTGGAGTTTGGCTTCAGTGTGGCAGTGTATTTAAATCTGATGGTACATTTAACAATCCCCTCCTCCCAAAGAACAAAGGTATACTGCTCAGGCAAACAATCCAGATCAATCCACAACAGGTTCAGGCTCTGGCTCGCCACCACACACGATGCAATAGGAAGAAGGGTCAGCCACACACCGGAGGATAGATGAATATAGTGTATATTTATTGATCCATAGGACACACAAAACACCAGGACTTGAATACAGGACCTGTTAACGTGTTTCACACGATCTCGTGCTTAATCATAACTCCCCTCTGCCCAGACTGACAATGTCGCTGTCCAAAGGTACCCCATGTGCATCACTCATACTGAGTGGGGGCACTCTAATACAGGAGGTGTTAGTGGCCTCATCACCAGGTGAAAACGGGGGGAAGAAAAGAAAAGGGATGCAGCCACCACATCTAATGATTGGTAAGCTACAATATATTACATTTTTTAATTTTTGAGTTTAAATTGATAAAGGCTTGGGTTTAAAGAAAACAAAAAAACTGTCATACTTACCTGCTCTGTGCAATGGTTTTGCACACAGCAGCCCCGATTTTCCTCCTTTCGCTCCTGAGCCTCACTCTGTCTACAGTATAAGAGACACAGAGCACAGCTCAGCCCCCCCCCCCTCGCTGCTCATTGGCTGTGATTGACAGCAGTGTGAGCCAATGGCTTCTGCTACTATGCCTCAGCCATTGAGGAGTGAGAGACCCCGGGAGAGCTACTGCTCTTGTGCAAAGTGCTGGATCGACAGCAGGCTCAGGTAAGTTTTAGGGGGGCTGTGGGGAGCAGCACACAGAAGCTTTCTTACCTTTTTATGCATAGAAGATAAAAAAAATCTTCAGCCTTTATAACCACTTTAATACAGCTTTTTACATTATCACAGGGCAGTACTTTTTTTGTATGTATTTGTTTTTGACATTGATATATGACGGTATGAGTTCCCACTATATGTTTTATAACCTTTATATTGGTGTTTTATGGTGATTTTTCCTTTTTCTTGTTTAGCAGTAAAAACTTGACTGGGGTGCTAAACCTTCCATATTCTATCCAAGTTGTAGGAGTGAAAATGTGAGCATTGTTACTCAGTGGACAATTGGGAGAAGAGGTTTCCACATAATTATAATTATCAACTTTTCACCTGACCACCAGTAAAGTCCCATTGTACTGATCACTTTGTAAGAGGGGATGATTCGACTCCGTATGCCAACGGTTTAGCTGTTCTTTCCATATGAAGTCAGTCTATATCCAGTTGGTTTAAATGGTCCTGTGGGGCTGCCTCATCAAGTCATTCATTACAATACTAGTTGTATTATATATCTAAACCATTGTCTATCTGTTAATATAACCATGTTGTTTTCAGAGCAACAATATTTTAAACTATAGTTTTAAATGTACTTATCATTGGAATTTACAAGAATATTCCTTTTTTTGGCCTGCAGTCTCTTCATTTGTTTTCCAAGACTGACAAGGAAAGGGAAAAAATTAATAATTTTGCCTTGGAGGCAAACAGAGAATAATTCATTAGAAGCCGTTTTAACATGCGGCGCTTCGTAAGCCTCTCTCTGGGGGGTTGTACAGATTTCTGAATTGGTTAGTTCAAAGCTGCCATCAACGGCTGCTAGAATTCTTGTATGTCTTTTATTTCAACAAGAAACTCGTTGAATTGCAGATGAGGAGGAAAGATTTTCAGATGTTTAGAGATTAGTTTGAGGCAATAAGAATACCAAGTCATTTTTAGCTGTTTCGAAAACAATTAAATTTCTTTTTCCTCTAGTTAATATTTAATGTAATTATGTTAACAAACTTGTTTCCAGAGTGTAATAGTGTTATGTGCATAAAAAAAAGTCTGAAGTAATCATTTCTGTTGCTAATGCTACCCCTAATTCAGGTACGCTGTTTATGACATCTCTGCATTTTGCAAGTGCTTCAGTAATGCACAGCCTGTCTCCAAATGGCAGGGGTGTATGTATTTAATCGTTCATTTAGGTGAACAGATGCAGGAATATTTTAGTATGTATGACTTATCTAGGCACAAGTGGGATGTAATGCATCTCACCTGGGAATAGTCATTTGTTAAATGGGAATCCACTATTAAATCATAGAAACCAAGGTGAATGAATATATGGAATGGAAGCAGATCGCACTGTGTGATCTGTAGGATTTATTGTGAAAGCACCTTTTACATTATTATACTGCACAGTGTTTTTTGAAGAGGTTATTAATATTTTACTCAGACCTGTGCTGGCCCTGCCCAATCCTCATTGACCATTCACATTTACATTTTCAAAAGACTTGGACAAAGTTAGACATAGTTCACTACGCAAAATAAAAGTGTGCCTCAACATCATAGCCTGTATATACAGTCCCTCGAGGATTGGAGTCAGACAGCTCGCAACATTGCTTTGGCTAAGGGCGAAAATTTCATAAGAATGACAGGCAATGACAGATCTACCCATCATTGCTGGAATTTCTGGGACTCGCATCAGTCTGATACTGAACCTGATTGCTGAATGGAAGCAGTACACAGAGTAAACTGTTTATTCCTCTTTCTGCATAAAATAGACACAATTGGCAGTCTGCCATGGAAAGGTTTTACAACTTCTGACATTCGGAAGCACTAATTACAATTTTTTTTTTTTTTTTTTTTACCCTTCTGAGGCTTGATTGCTATAAGCAAATCTCCAATCTTTCACATGTGCAGTCTTTATGCATTTTAACGAGACTTATATTTTATGTGCATTTTTACCCAATCTCTCAATAGTCTTATAAAATCCAGGACAGAGATGTAAAACAGGGAATGCATAGAGGACATTACTATCTAATAAATAATGCAGTCTCTCCCCTAAAGCCACTGGGCATTATCAGATATCAGAAGTTTTGAAAAGTAGGACATGACTACTTTTCTTCTCCTCTTGATATCCCCTTGGAAGGGTGCCACTGAGTTTGGAGACTGAACTTTTGCATAGAGAAAGTTTTTTGTGTATGTACACACAGTATGGGTATTTTTGCAGACAGATGTGAAGGAAAAAAAATGACAAATAATGCATACACATCCTTTTTTGATGAAGAATAGGTTTCCATAAATGTGGTAGTTCCACTGATGCACTTATTGGAATGCCCATTCCTTCATCATACATCACAGGGCACAAAGCATCTTCATATCCATTACAATAGTGTTCTGCTGCCACCTTCAGGTGACTGGACATTGGCAAAAAAAAAAAAAAAAACAGCCCTCTCCCAGGTATAATTCATCTCTGTTATCAAGCGATTTCCCAAGGTGGAGAAATTTCACCTATTCTTATGGCAACACCTTGCCTAATTATTACCAAATGGAAGCAGAGATTCCCCCTCCCTCGTTATGCATGATTTGCTTAACCGAATTAAAGAAGTTCAAGCTATAGAAAAACTAATTGCGTTGATTTAGAACACAGTAGAAAAGTATATTGTGGTCTTGAATACGTGGAACATATACCTGCACCAGTACTGACACACCTAAAGGTCTCGCTTAGAGTTTCCAACACTAGATGGTCTCTCTTCTCTTACCCACTCTATCTCCCCTACAATTTCTTACTTTCTCTTTCATCTGTTTGTTTCTTCCGAACGGTGCTCGTCCCTTACGAATGGTGTTCACCTAATTCAATAAAGCGTGGGCGGGAGTAACTATGACTCCCTTAAGCTAGCTGCTTCTGTGGGATCGGTCGTGTCGCCACACTGGACACAGTAAGTTCTCCCATCTCCACCGCTCCAGGTTCAGGGAACCCGACTCCCTTATTGCACAGGATTTCTACATTTTTCTTGATGACAGAATGCGGAAAATAGATAATGTGAAAAATCACTGGGCTCATAACGTGTATAAATGACAATATAACACTGTGTGTATGTGTGTGTGTAAATATATATATGAAATTCAGTACTTTTATAGGTGGTTCTATAGGTGTATAAGAGCAACGATTTTTGTTGTTCTGGAGCTCAGGCTCCAGGATCATGCACTCTCAAGGGGTGTCATTGACAGCCGGGGCAGGCAGGAAGTGGATTTAATAAAACCTACAACTCATTCAACCTGGAAGAGTGGCTCTGCTGGAACAAAAGAGTGTTTGTGAAGGAAAGAACTGGAAAGAATGTAAGTATTGCTGCCAAAGCTGCATTTTTTTTTTATGGGAGTACCATAATAAATAATGCAGAAATTGGGCTTTAACCGTATTGTGATCCCAACCTAAACACTGATGCCCCCATCATGAGCCCTAAAATGATGCTTGAACTGTTCACCTCTAACATGTAACACTATTAAAGCGGTATATAACCCAAAAACAAAAATGTCATATATTGTAGCTTATCAATCACATATGGTGGCTGCACTAGTTTTTTTTTTTTTTTTTTCTTAGGCTTTTTCCTTCTGCCTCCACCTGGTGATCTGGCCAGTAACACATCTCTTGTATTCGTGTGCCCCACTCTAGATAAATGAGCACAGAGTCAAAGCAGACAGTAGCATTGTTAATCTGGGAAGAGGGGAATGTGATATAAGCTAGCAGATTTAGATACACTAATAAATTGAAGCCAAGTTCCAGCTCATACTGCAGTTACAGCAGTATTTGTTTCCTTAGGGAGAGAAAACACAGCTGATTTAATGAAAAATCGATTACAGGGCCATTAAGTAGTGGATGCATGTGGATTCTTTTTGGAGAATAAGGGTATTGTTTAGTTTCACTTTTAACCTAACACTTATAATAAATCTTGGCAATTAACTCAAAGTATACGTTAAGGGAAAAAAAAAGTCTCTGCAATACATGACATTTTCTGTGTTTTATCCCTATACCCCTTTTTGCTGGAGGCAAAAAGCAATTATGTTTGAGGCAACGTCCGCATATACACAAATTTCCAGCTATAGCAGCCAGGAGTTTTATATTTTTATTCCTAGCTGCCAGCTTTCACGTTATTTTGGGTGGCTTTACAACTTCCTTGTGGACTTTTTGAGGGTTTTTTTTTTTTTTTTTTTTTTGTGATTTACATTTTTACTGAGCACCTGGACTATGGCCACCACTATACTTCCAGCATTCAGATGCTGGACCTTCGAGTGTCCAATCCTGCAGGTTCTTTTGGAGCTGTTCTATCCATCCCTCCTCTCCTCTTGCCCAATCATGGAAGGCTTTGTATTATATCAACCAATCAACAAAACACAAAGTATTCTGTGAATAGACAGTGGAAGTGGGGACCATTCAGTATCTAGCAATCAATTTTCTAGTCAAGTACAGAAGACGAGAGGTCATAATGTAGATAACAGGTTGATACACTTCGGAATCCAGAGCTCCCAGTAAACACACTAACTGGTCAGTGGGAACAGTAACTTGAGTAACTAAGGAAATAGTATGTACAACCTTAGTCCAGTAGTGTGTGTTTCGGGCAGAGCCAAATCATATGAATGAAATCTCCTCTATGCGAACAATATTTAGGACACAAAGTTGCATCTCTCCTACCCCAGTCAGTTCAATAGGACTGGTGTAGTATAATAATAATTTGGGATACCGGTAGTTTATGGGAGGCAGAAAGAGAAAAGAAATTGATTACGTTGCTCACCACTAATCTTGCCAACATCCTCAGTCCAAGCCACCCTACTCCTATGTTTAGTGGGATCCTGAATGGAGGAGAGCAGCCGTGTATATATACGGTAAATCAACCCTCTCTTCTGCGTAGCAGGCACTATTTCAGTAATTAGTTGGGAGTCTGACCTATGTAACACTCAAGTGTGTTTTGTGTCTGAAGCTCATGTCATGGTTGAATGTATTGATAAAATTGTTTGAGACTGCGACAACTATAATTGGGCATAGCATTTAAATATATTGCCTATGTACAACTGAGCAAAATATAACACCCTCTTTTTTCCTCCATTCAAGCTCTTTAGTTTAGCCAGTTCCAGGTATGCTGAGTTATGCCAAAAGGGGGTAAAGTCAAGGAAGCCTGTAATTTTCAGTAATGATTTTAAAGTGGTTGTAAAGGCTGAATATTTTTTTACCTCCATGTATTCTCTGCATGTAGGTAAAAAACAATCTGTGTGCAGCAGCTCCCCCAGCCCCATTAATACTTACCTGAGCCTTATCGCGATCCAGCTATGTGAATGACAGCCTCGTCTGTCCCAGGTCTCTGCCTCATTGGCTGAGACAGTAAGCAGGAACCATTGGCTCCTGCTGTGTCAAACACAGCCAGTCAGCCAATGAGAGAGGGGGGTGGGGCCAAGCAGCGGCTCCGTGTGTGAATGGACACACGGAGCAGCGGTTGCCCTCATAGCAAGCTACTTGCTGTGGGGGCACCCGACAGACAGGAGAGCCTGCAGTGGACCTGTGAAGAGGACGATCCAGGCTGCTCTGTGCAAAACCACTACAGACAATAGGTAAGTATAGACATGTTTGTTATTTTACAAAAAACAAGAAAAAAAAATGAACCTTTAGAATCGCTTTAAGTTAAACTTATCCTAACAGCACTGTAAGCTTTGGCACCGAATCCCACCAGTTTTGCGCCAAGAGCCTAGAACCAAAAGCAACAGTTTCACATAAATCTGTATCTGCCTTTTAAGATTTCACCATATCATGGATTTTAAAGCCCAATTCCATGCAAATAAAAATAATCCTTTGCAGTGGGGCTGCAAGGGTTAATTGCTATTTTTGTCTGAGAGTAGAAACCACTCTACATACCTGATCCTCCACTTCCCCAGCAGGTGGCATTCCCCCACAGTCTAGCATGGATCCACCCCACAAATCCCTCACATGGACTGTTCTTCTGTGTCCCCAAATCCAGAGAAGGCCTATGGACGTTGCTCTGGTCTTGATGACATCAGGACTCTAGACTGGTGGAGCATGGGGTTGCAGGCAGTGCAAGAGGAGCAGAGGATTGGGTATTTTTTTTTTCCCTAGGCATAAACGAGCATAGCCCCACTGCAAGAAATAATTTTTTATGCCTGGAGTTGGGTTTTAATAATAAAGTCCTAATGCCAAACAATATGAAAAAAGGATGGTTGAACTATCACTTTAAACCCATTTGTTGACACTCCCTTTAGAGCTCTAAAAATTTTAGAAATTACAGTTGAGTGATCTAATTTCTTATATGCATTTCTGACAGATTTGATGCCTTGGTACAGAGATTTGAGGCTCCTGATTCCCGTAATCGATGGGATTGCCCCCTCTTTACTGTACAGAAGGATGACGAACTGCCATTGGAACAGATCTGCAATGCAATTTTTCATAGAAAAGCACCTCCTCCCAACCAATCCACACAGACTGTAAGCAATACATCGCTGCTCCTTTTACTTTGCCCACATGATTTGGTTTGGTTTGTGTTTAATTTTAAAACCTGATGTTTTTACCTGATAAAGTTATTAATACAGATCAGTCATCTACAGGTAAGTGAGGCTTTCTGTTATTTGCCTTGTCTAAGTGCCCCATTTGAAAGTGCTTACAATTTGCTTTTGTAGGCTTTACATTTCTCAATGTTTGGCCCAAGTTCTGCCTATCTGCCAGCCCCCTGTCCACAAAGAGTGTTGTCCAATAAACTACTCCTACCAGACTGATGGCTGGCAAATGGATGGGAGAGGAATGTGATAGTTATAGTATGCACAAATAAGACCACATTCCTGAATTAAAAGCCAACTTGTGTGTATAGAAACCTGGAGGCTACCTTTGTAAACATCCTTCATACAGTCTTTACTGCTTGACAATCATGCAGATCTTCTGACTCCAATACATTCTGAGCCTTTCAGCTGGAACAAGCAAGCTTGCTACAGATAGGAGATTCTAAAACCCATTAGATCAACATGACAGCCAGGCAACCAGCATTTTCTGAAGAAGCATCTGGCATTGGCAGTCTCCATGTTTACCTGCACAGATTTCTTGTAACCTGTAAGCTTCTAGTGGACATGGACTGATATGTACAGTATATGTGCTATGATCAATGCTATGTAAATGCATATTTACAGTCAGGTCCATAAATATTGGGACATCGACACAATTCTAACATTTTTGGCTCTATACACCACCACAATGGATTTGAAATGAAACGAACAAGATATGCTTTAACTGCAGACTGTCAGCTTTAATTTGAGGGTATTTACATCCAAACCAGGTGAACGGTGTAGGAATTACAACAGTTTGCATATGTGCCTCCCACTTATTAAGGGACCAAAAGTAATGGGACAGAGTAATAATCATAAATCAACTTTCACTTTTTAATACTTGGTTGCAAATCCTTTGCAGTCAATTATAGCCTGAAGTCTGGAACGCATAGATATCACCAGACGCTGGGTTTCATCCCTGATGATGCTCTGCCAGGCCTCTACTGCAACTGTCTTCAGTTCCTGCTTGTTCTTGGGGCATTTTCCCTTCAGTTTTGTCTTCAGCAAGTGAAATGCATGCTCAATCGGATTCAGGTCAGGTGATTGACTTGGCCATTGCATAACATTCCACTTCTTTCCCTTAAAAAACTCTTTGGTTGCTTTTGCAGTATGCTTTGGGTCATTGTCCATCTGCACTGTGAAGCGGCGTCCAATGAGTTCTGACGCATTTGGCTAAATATGAGCAGATAATATTGCCTGAAACACTTCCGAATTCATCCTGCTGCTTTTGTCAGCAGTCACATCATCAATAAATAAAAGAGAACCAGTTCCATTGGCAGCCATGCATGCCCACGCCATGACACTACCACCATGCTTCACTGATGAGGTGGTATGCTTAGGATCATGAGCAGTTCCTTTCCTTCTCCATACTCTTCTCTTCCCATCACTCTGGTACAAGTTGATCTTGGTCTCATCTGTCCATAGGATGTTGTTCCAGAACTGTGAAGGCTTTTTTAGATGTCGTTTGGCAAACTCTAATCTGGCCTTCCTGTTTTTGAGGCTCACCAATGGTTTACATCTTGTGTTGAACCCTCTGTATTCACTCTGGTGAAGTCTTCTCTTGATTGTTGACTTTGACACACATACACCTACCTCCCGGAGAGTGTTCTTGATCTGGCCAACTGTTGTGAAGGGTGTTTTCTTCACCAGGGAAAGAATTCTTCGGTCATCCACCACAGTTGTTTTCCGTGATCTTCCGGGTCTTTTGGTGTTGCTGAGCTCACCAGTGCGTTCCTTCTTTTTAAGAATGTTCCAAACAGTTGTTTTGGCCACGCCTAATGTTTTTGCTATCTCTCTGATGGGTTTGTTTTGTTTTTTTCAGCCTAATGGTGGCTTGCTTCACTGATAGTGACAGCTCTTTGGATTTCATTTTGAGAGTTGACAGCAACAGATTCCAAATGCAAATAGCACACTTGAAATGAACTCTGGACCTTTTATCTGCTCATTGTAATTGGGATAATGAAGGAATAACACACACCTGGCCATGGAACAGCTGAGAAGCCAATTGTCCCATTACTTTTGGTCCCTTAACAAGTGGGAGGCACATATGCAAACTGTTGTAATTCCTACACCGTTCACCTGATTTGGATGTAAATACCCTCAAATTAAAGCTGTCAGTCTGCAGTTACAGCACATCTTGTTCGATTCATTTCAAATCCATTGTGGTGGTGTATAGAGCCAAAAATGTTAGAATTGTGTCGATGTCCCAATATTTATGGACCTGACTGTAGATGTATATTTAACATCTTAGAGATTGTAAACGTATGCACTAAATTAGGACCTTAAATCCAGGGCTGTCTTGTTATATTCGTTCATATTTCTTTTTTTTTGTGTAATATACATGTGATCTGATGTATTATTCTCCTAGATGTGATTTTTTTTTTTTTTTTTTTTTTTTTTTTTTTTTTCTTCTTTTCTGAAACAGCAACCTTTGTCTTCCACTAATTTCCTACATGAGTTAGACAAGGTGACACAGGACGTAGTGACTGTAAGTGAGTCAAATAGCCGTGCATGTTTTTGTATATTCATGTTGAAGGGGACTATGCTTATCAAAGTCTTAACATGACTGTGTCACTTTTTTGCCAAGATGTGTGCTCAGATTGGATCAGTCTCCAGTTCAGAACAAATCATCCTGAAAAAATATTTGCTTCTGTACAACATTAGAGCCAAACGCATGTAGCTTGGTGTGAAGGTGCTGCTTTCCATGTAAGCAGCTAATTTTCACATTACAGTTTTTATAGAGCTTCAGGAAAGAACTACATTGTTTTAAAAGAAGTACAGCCAAAGCTCTTTTGGCTGTACCTCTCCTGTGGATCACAGAAGTGCAACTCGATTTGCACTCCTGTGACCCGTTTTCAGCTGATGTCACTCAGCCAATACAGGCTGGGGAAAGATCCCGACTTTAAAGTCGGGATCCACCCCATAGTCTGGAGTGGCACCTGGCTTAGCCTGTCAGTGATCTTCTGAGAGCCTGAGACAGCTGTTCCCTCCCCCTCCACAGCCCAGCGCTCCAGTGAGCTGGGGGGGAGGCAGAGCAGACAGTGGTCATATGTTCATTAACTTCTCACACTTAGAGCTGACGGGGGAGCAATGCTGCATCCACCTAGGTAAGTACACTGCTAAAAAAAATTAAAGGAACACTTTGAAAACACATCGGATCTCAACAGGTAAAAATATCATGCTGGATATCTATACTGATATGGACTGGGAAATGTGTTAGAAACATAAGGATACCTCATTGTTTGATGGAAATTAAAATTATCAACCTACAGAGGACTGAATGCAAAGACACCCTGAAAATCAAAGTGAGAAAATGATGCACCAGGCTATTCCAATTTGCTGAAATTTCATTGCAGCAGCTTGTATGCATACTTTACAACGTCGGGACATGCTCCTAATGAGATGATGGTTGGCCCTGGGGTATTTCCTCCCAGATCTGGACCAGGGCATCACTGAGCTCCTGGACAGTCTGAGGTGCAACCTGACAGTGGCGGATGGACCAAAACTGATATCACAGAGGTGTTCTATTGGATTTAGGTCAGGCAAGTGTGGAGGCCATTCAGTGGTATTCCCTCATCCTCCCTGAACTGCTTGCATACTCTTGCCACATGAGGCTGGGCATTGTCGTGCACCAGGAGGAACCCAAGACCCACTGCACCAGTGTAAGGTCTGACAATGGGTCCAAGGATTTCATCTTGATACCTAATGGCAGCCAGGGTGCCATATTCTAGCCTGTAGAGGTCTGTGCATTCCTCCATGGATAAGCTTCCCCAGATCAGCATGACCATTTTGGTGGTGGGTCAATGATGAACGATGTTACAGGCAGCATAACATTCTACATGGCTTCTTCAGACCCTTTCACGTCTGTTACATTTGCTCAGGGTGAACTTGCTCTCATCTGTGAAAAGTACTGGGCACTACTGATAGACCTGCCAATTCTGGTGTTCAGTGGCAAATGCCAATCGAGCTCTATGGTGCCAGGTAATGAGTACAAGGCCCACTAGAGGACATCGGGTCCTCGGGCCACCCTCATAAAGTCTGTTTCTGATTGTTTGGTCAGAGACATTCACACCAGTGGCCTGCTGGAGGTAATTTTTGTAGGGGTCTGGCAGTGCTCATCCTTTTCCTTCTTGCACAAAGAAGCAGATAGCGGTTCTGATGATGGGTTAATGACCTTCTATGGCCCTGTCCAGCTCTCATAGAGTAACTGCCTGTCTCCTGGAATCTCCTCCATGCTTTTGAGACTGTGCTGGGAGACACAGCAAACCTTCTGGCAATGGCACGTATTGATGTGCCATCCAGGAGGAGTTGGACTGCCTGTGCAACCTCTGTAGAGTCCAGGTATCGCCTCATGCTACCAGTAGTGGCACTAGCCCTAGCCAAATGCAAAACTAGTGAAAAACAGTCAGGAAAGATGAGTAGGGAAAAAAATGTCAGTGTCCTCCACCTGTAAAACAGATCCTGTTTTGGGGGCCGTCTCATTGTTGCCCATCTAGGTGCACCTGTTAATTTCATTAACACCAAATCAGCTGAAACTGATTAACAACCCTCTCTGCCACTTAACTGGCTAGATCAATATCCCAGGAGTTTAATTGACTTGATGCTATACTCTGATTAAAAAGTGTTCCTTTAGTTTTTTAAAGCAGTGTATAATTTTGGGGGGAAAAAAACAAACTTCTCTTTTAACACTGGACATTTCCACTAAATAGTCTGTTTACATCGCTAATCAACTGTTGTTATATCATTAAAAGGCAAGTTTTTTAGTGTTGCATTTGTAATCTGTTTTAAAGCGCAGTAACATAAACACAATTAAATCCAGTTTTGTAGGTATTAGAAATATGTATATGTGTACATATTGTAAATCTAATAATACAGCTAATATTAGTATTGGAATTCTGTCTTTATTAGTTTCCTACAATCTCCTGTACAGAAGCACCCTGACTGGGAAAGTGAGGGTCAGTATTTTG